GCGTCGACAGATCGCATGAGGTCGGAATGCGGGGGATGACATCAAAAACCGCGAAAATTGTCGCTATGGGGGAAGGATAGCGATGGATTTAGAAACCAATTGAAAACAGGGGTTTCTAATGATATAATTAAGAGTTACCACTTAATCTACCACTAAATCCCAGGAGGACCCTTCTCGACGTCAAGAATCTGAGTGTTTGGGAATGAGACCGTTAACAGTGCCTTTATGCTTTCCGGTGTAAGATGGTTGCGTAATTTAGACTTGAATATCAGTAACCTAGGCGATAATCTAATTTCAGGCGGAAGATTATTCCAAAGGAAGGCATATTTGGAAGCAAAGAAGAGGGAGCGCTTAGATGTAGTACAAAGAGGCGGCGGAATCACCATGCAGGAGTTGCGCGTGGCATAAGACCGATCTCTCGGAGTGAGAGTGTCAATGTGCGGAAGACTGGCGCTATAGTTGATGCGAAAAAGGAAGCAAAGGCCAGCTTCGAGTCTTCTAACCCACAAAAACTTCATGTTCGCCAGCTGACATCTCTGAGTATAAGAAATACTGGACGAAGCTTGAGAGAACAGTTTCCGAGTGAAAACCCTCTGAACATTTTCGATTTTATTACGGTCGCAGGCGCTCATTAGACCGAAGAAAGGACAGAAATATTCGAGGACTGGAAGAACAAACATTTGATAAAGTCTTAGCTTCATTTCCGGAAGGAAAAAATTATGCGATATGAATCCACATATCTGCGCGGCTTTGGCAGAGATTCTATCTGCATGAGGTGATAAAGCAAGTTTATTTGTATAATTTAGACCTAGGTCCTTTATGATGTGGCATTCTGAGAGTGGGTTATTCTGAAAAATTATGGGACCAGGAAGTTTGGTAGGACCAAAAGACATGAAACTACACTTGGATGATGAAAATTCCATCTGCCATTTCGAACCCCATCTGCTTAAGCGCAGTAAATCGGCATTAATTTTTTCAACACAAACATTTGCGGTGTCCTTAGAGTATGAGTAAACACACTTGAGGTCATCGGCATAAGTAAAAGTTTGCGAATTTCCGAGTTCAGTCGAAA